ACTTCACGCCTTTCGATGGAAAGGGCTCACCTACTCAACATCTAATTTATTTAAAGTCCCACTTGGGCATGATTTTTGGCAATGAAGCCTTGATGGTTCGGTCATTCGTGGGCACCCTTCGCGGGGGTGCCTTCGATTGGTACCGTCGTCTCAAGCTTGGAAGCGTTAACAGGTGGGATGATATGGAAAACTCATTTCTCAGCAATTTCTTTGATGATGATATCAAGGTATCAATCAGGATGCTCTTTGAGGAGAAACAGGAAGATGAAGAGACGGTCGACGACTTCATCAAGCGCTTCTGAAATAAGGCGATGCATTGCCGAGATCCAGTCACAGATGACATCATACTCTAAACTTTTCATAACAACCTGTCCATTGGTATCTTAGAAGTTATGGGAGTAGCACCATCCAAGACTTGGAAATAGTTAAAGATGAGCAGAGAGCAGGCCGAACGCTTCCTCAGAAGGAAGAAAGCTGAGAGAAGCCAACCAACGGCTAACCCTCCGAATTCAAGCTTTACCTCCCGTGGTAAGGGGAAGACACCTACATCAGCTATTGATATTAACCAGACGTCACAGCAGCAACCCCGGAAACAGCAAAAGACTTCAGATCCGAGACTCCAAAAAGAGTACTTCTTCAAAGATGAAGACATTTCGGCCATTTTTGAGTCCTATCTTGAAAACAACAAGATTAAGCTGTCACCTATCACAAATCAGGAGAAAGCTAATAATACTTCGGATCCAAAGCACTCTGTGTACCACAGGAAGATCCTTTATCCCACCAAGGCTTGCTTCATACTAAAAAATAACATCCAAGTCTTGGTTGAGGCCGGCGTCATAACACTGGAATAAGCCAAATGAGAACTCTACACTCCGAAGTGTATACGAGTATAAACTGCTTTTCTCTCACTCTAAAAAGTATATGAGTATAAACTACTCTTTCTTTCCCACACTCCAAAAAGTATGTGAGTATAAACTGCTCCTTCCCAGACTCCGAAAAGTATACGAGCATAAACTGCTTCTCAGTCCTTGTGACGCCCCAGGTTTCACACGAGGCTACAGTCCAAGACAAAACCCGAATTGTCAAACCTGCTAAGCACAAAACACAATGCTACGATATCTTTCACCATCACAGTCACTATCTCTCTAGTGAAAACAACAAATAGGTGAAAGTATCGACATGCAAATAAAAGAAATAGAATAAGCCAAGCATACACAGAAGCAATAAGAGAATACTCATCAATGAGCCAACTGAAATAGAATAGAAATATCTCTGAGTCTGAAATAAACCTCAAATACAATGAGTCAAATAAAGTATCACTACGGCTCTCAGCCTCTACAAAATGTAATACAAATCTAGAGTCTGAACATAATTAACTAACTGTGGAGTTCTGAATAACTACTAAAGTACTAAATAGCTAGATGGAATCTATGAAGAAGTCTCATCAGCCTGCGACTCTACGTGCACTGGACTCACTGCCTGAAAGGGGGGAAACAATGAGTGTCAAAGAGTTATAGCGAGAACATCTCCACCTCTCCCCGGGGAAGGGGTAGGAGTGTATAGAAAATATAGAGAGTACATAAATATAGAATCATTCATATACATCTAACTGGAGATTAGTATTTAGGAATCCACAACACGAGAGTTAGTACGTCGAGTAAAATAATCCAAACAAGGAAACCCTCATGTATATACCATGTCTCAAATTGTGACTCCCGAAATACTAATTCCAAACTTTATGAATGATAAACAACAAACAAAAAGATAATACTCCAAACCTCAAACCTGTAGAATAAATATCCCATCCTAATCTACACTCGGGTAGACGGATTTGACATAAAAGGAACTCATCCAAACAAAAGCCAACCACATACCATGTCGTGTAAGCCACGGTCTCAGAGAAAGCACCCTACTTACGGTTATTCACTATGGAAGCAAAATTATAGTTTATATTACTTACAAATGTGCATCTCTTATATATATTAGCAATACTCTTGTAATACTCTTACTCAATCACTCTGCGGCAATTGGTTTCATCTCCTTATCCCGAAAACGTAATATGACGATACTTTTGTAATACTCTTACTCAATCGTCCTACGAATATAGGTTTTATTTACCTATCTCAGAAACATAATATGATGATACTTTTGTAATACTTTTACTCAATCGTCCTGCGAAAATAGGTTTCATCTCCCTATCCCGAAAACATAATATTTCTATACTTTTCATATTTAATATGTAAACACAACTATATGTGTACATATCTCGGTGTACGTGTCCATATCTGGTGTTTACTGACATCTCAGATGTTAAACAACTTATAAACATCGTATCATAACAGTGCAAGGTCGAGAGACTTGCTCAAAAACTCAACAATCGATTATAAACATGCATAAGCTAAAAATACTCTTGGCGGTCGACCGCAATTACGCGGCGGTCGACTGCGACGGGTTCCAGGGCCTACGCTGGCCTTTGTCCTGCACTCAGTCGATCGCCGCTAGGGCGCAGTCGACCGTGAGCTGAAATTCTAGATTCTCAATCCAGTTGTGTGTGTTGTGTTCACACCGTGTTTAGGTGATTCAAACATGATTAAAATGATATGAATCTTTCATGGAAACATGAAAAAAGCAGATAAAAACTTCTGGGAGCAACACAATGTATATAACATGATAAATTATATGAAATTCATATTCAAAACCCTAAATTATGCACATGAACTTGAAATAAAGCACAAATCATCTTTCATCAGATTAAACAACATTTAAATCATGTCCAGATCTTAAATATCTTCTGTAAATTCGTTCTCAAACCTTTTCGCATGGAAAGACCTAGTCTTTATACATATAATACAAAAGAATTTACTTTTATTCATAAACTGGTCAATTTGGCTCTAATAAACATGTTAAAAACCCTTTAAAATGTTTTAAGAACTGGGAGGGGGATTAGCAGAGATGAACTCACCTGAAACTTATAGAAAAACGTTTAGGATGCCAAGCCAAAACAGATCTCCAATCTAAAAGGCAAAAATCACCTGAAAATCCACTTGAAAGCCTCCAATATTCTCCAAGAATCAAAATAAGGTTTGCGGGGGGGTTTGGTGGCTGCTAGGGTTCTTAGAGAAACAGAAAAATTCGTGAAAATTTGATATATAAACTAGAGAAAATGAATATGGGCTTTAGAAATCCGAAACCAACTCAAAACAGAAGAAAAACTTTCTACAGGTCTCGCGATCGACCATGGCGGTCTACCAGACTGGGAATTTCTAGTTCTCATGATTTTGTTCGTTGTGCATGTTTCAACTCTTTCTTTTCTCACGAAAGAACTTGTTTATACTCAAAACACATGGTATACTACTCACATACCATTTAACTTTATTTATCAAAATAAATATCCATATATCATGATCAATCATATATATATTTCTCACGAAAGAACTTGTTTATACTCAAAACACATGGTATACTACTCACATACCATTTAACTTTATTTATCAAAATAAATATCCATATATCATGATCAATCATATATATATATATCACAAATTTTTAGGGTGTTACAGTCAGACTTGAGTGACTTGCGGTTGTGAGGGTCAGACTTGAGTGACCCACGGTTAGGAGGGTCAGACTTGAGTGACCCACGGTTTGGAGGGTCAGACTTAAGTGACCCGTGGCTGTGAGGGTCAAACTTGAGTGACCCGTGGCTTGGAGGGTATAGGCGTCAAAAAATACTCATAGATATCCAAACACAACTCAAGACTGAGAAGAGAACAATATACATGCAACGACAAAATACACCGACAAGCAGCCCATGGTGGCGCACCTTATGTGCGGCAGTCCATGGTGGCGCGCCTTAGGTACGGCAGTCCATGGTGGTGCGCCTATTACACGTCAGTCTATGGTGACGTGCAAACTACAGGGAGCTACCGCGGTGGTTAAAAAAGTAGTTATACGATGATTTTCAAGGTCCACGTGGCGGTATATCAGAAAAAGAACGTGTGCTGATGTGTACAAACGGTTAAACCACGAAAAAAGTGGTTAAAAGTCGTGGGAGGGCAGTTTCAAGCACGATGGGAACGTGGCTGTAACGGCCTCTTTGGTCGCGCCAGTCCACACTGGCGCGCCAATAGCCGTGGCAATGTGGACTGATGCGCTCAAAGAGTAGTCACTTGGTCAGTTATTTCGTCCCCGTTTCCACTGTGGTGCACTCCTATACCTATAAATACCTCCCTAGACACGAAAAAAAAAGGACAGAGAGCAGATTGGGGCATAGAGACTTACTCTTTTGATAATTTTGAGGAAGAGAGAGAGAATTTTCACCTTTCATAAACAACATTTGGTGATTCCTAGAGATCTAAGCTCAGACTTGATCTTTGGAAGAGTGAACATCTTACATCAATAAGATATTCGCTTCAAATTTCTACTTCGATAAATAATGGAAGGATCTCTAAACCCCCTCACAATCTGTGAATCGGTGGTCCATGAGCTAACGCACTCCCGGCACAGGCAAAGTCCCACAAAACAGGAGTCGATAAACGATTTCTGTGTTATTTTCTTAAGAATTGTAATTTTCTTTTTTTATTGTAATTCTCTGTAAACAATCGAAGTTTAATGGAATCATCAATGAAACCAATTTTCGACAAAAACAGTATTTTCCACCGTTTTTCGTGTTTATCGGTCGTGTTGACTTGTACGCTTTGCTAACTTGCTTCATGCGCTCGTTAGCTTCTTTACGGTGCTTGGAACTGATCGACGCGCGCGTGTTGATTGACGCATGCGAGTTGATTGACGCACGCGAGCTGATTGACGTACGCGCGTTGACTGAAGTGCGCGAACTGATTGATGCGCGTGAGCTGATTGATGCGCGTGTATTGCCCGATACGCGTGAACTGATTAACGTGCGCGTGTTGACCGACGTGCACGAGCTGATTGACTTGCGCGAGCTGGTTGACGTGAACCTTCTCGATTCGTCCACTCTTTGATTCGAGTTGTATTCACTCCCTCGTCGGAGACCGCCCTCCTCCCTCCCTCAACAGTCGAAGACCCTCCCCTCCCTCCTTCGCGAGCTTCCTCCTCCGACGCTGCAGGTAATCCCTCTCTCTCTCTCTCGACCTCCAAAAGCTGCGAGATCCCCCCCTTCTCTCTCTCTCGCGATCTCTCGATCCCCCCACCCCTCTCTCGATCTCTAGATCGATTGATATCCCTACCCCTCTCTCGATCCCCCACCGCTCTCTTGCGTTAGCCCTGTTTTTTTTTTTTTTTTGACAGTAAACAAAATTTGATTGTTACAACAGAAATTGGGGGAATTGATTCAGATATTTATTTATTTATTTACAAACCCTCACCCTTTTGTTTGTCGTGGATGTTGGTTTCTGCATATATGTGTCAATGTTTGCATATTTGTTACCAGATTTCTGTAAATTGCTGGGGGGGGGGCTTTCAACTTCCGTCCTTGGATAGTGATAGTGATAGTGATTTGTAACTGATTTCTTGTTACCAGATTTCTTGTTTGCTGCCTCATTATTTGTAACTGAGATTGTGTCTGCTCTGATTTCGTGTTATGGTCATTCAAAGTTGCTACCAGTCTGATTTCGTGTTATGATCATTCAAAGTTGCTACCAGTTGTTCTTAATTAGCCAAGTTGAAGAGAAAGCTGCTTAAACATTATGAGAATTATTTAATTGTCTAAACATGCAAGTCTAAACAATACATTTATCTCAGAGGATATATTTGCAAAACCCCGAAGTCTATGATATTGGCTAACAAAACTTGTGCCAGGCTGATACTGGTTGAATCCTGACAAACATTACAAAGAAAATAACTTTGCTTGGGAGTTGGAATGTATTGGCTTATAGGAAAATTAATTTTGCTTGATTTAAATATGTCTGAGGTGTCCTAACATGCTGCTCACAGGACATGCACATGTTGCTGAAGCTCTTGGTTGTAACTTTGGTGTTAGAGGAAACTGTCGGCTATTTTCATATGTTATAACATTTGAATACTGGTGGAAAGAAAAACCATTACAAAATATAGCAAGTTTTAGAAACTAGGCAAGAGTGCAAGGAAAGTTTGCATTTTTTTGCCAATTATTATTTTTCAATTGCTATGAATATGCAAATTTTTGTATCTGTAGCCGTGGATCATGGAGTCATCTTCAAGCAATCATCATGGATTGTTGTGCCATTGTGGAAGGAGGGCTATACTCTCCCGATCTGGAACTAAGGCGAACCCTGGTCGATTGTTTTTGGGATGCGCTAATTGGAAAGTGAGTAATTGTGGATTCTTCAAATGGGTACCTAATGAAGAGGAGTTTGAAGGCCCAAAGGAAGAGCTTGTTCAGACGAATCAGTCGAGCGTGACGCCGCAATTTTCAAGAGCTTTGTCAAGTGGAGAAGTGCGAGAAAAGAGAAAGATTGAGATTGATATTATGGATTTGTTGAAGGTTGTTATTTGTGCTCTTTTATTTGGTATTTTTCTTGGATTTGTATTTGGTATTTCTATTGGATTTGTGCTAAGTAGGGTGTAAGAATGTATATTGGATTTGTTGAAGTGTATGTTGATGAGATCTTCAGGTGTTCTGGAATTTGTGCTAAGTATTGGATTTGTGCTAAGTATTGGATGCGTTGGTGATGCGGTGGTCTTGTTTCATATAGAGGTGATGCGTTATAGAATATGTTTATCACATTCGTGTTATAGAATATATGTTTATCACATTCGTGTGATGGCCTCTGTGTCTATTGATGTTAATCACAAGATTGTAACCAGCATATTTGTTTAAATGTATGTCATTCTCTTAAGAGCGATTTTCCTCAATTCATTGGCCAATTCCCCTCTTATAATCAATCATCTTTTTCTTTTTCTTTTTCTTTTTTTAACTCCCATAGTTTCTAAGCAATTTCATCCAGCATTACAAGCTCGAATCAAGAGGGGGAATCAGCGATAGGATAGCAGAAAGACAGAAATTATACCGGTAATTTTGTGTTCCGAGAAACTCATTTAACGTAACGTAAGAAAGTATCCAGTGAAACTGAATCTATAACATTAAACGTGTATTAAAGGAATACCAACCTGTTGAGTGCTTTCTCCATCCAACAGAGGAAAACCTCTTGGAAAATATGTACCAGCTAATGGACAATAATAACTTATCTTGAGCGAGAACTAAAAAAAAAATTCCAACTTTAAACGTTAGATTAACACCTTCAGCTCTGAACTTCTGCTACTTTTTCTTAGTTATAGCTAACAATATCAGCAACAGAAATACTGTAAAATAAAAATTTTAAAAAATGAATAAACGACCAAGAGACCGGGTCACTAATAATCTTAATCAACAATTATAATAAACAGAAAGTACTCTACGGCGTGCAATACAAAGAAATCATCAAACGCAGAGAACGCACAACTGGGGGATAAATTCCTCTTTCAACAAGCAAACATTCAACCGCCACAGAGAACATTATGACATCACAATCACAGTTATAATCACAGTCATAGTTCGACCGCCACAGAGAACATTTTGATAACTTCTAGTTCCCCTAAAAAGAGAAACCATAAAATTGTTCAAGCACAATCACAGTTACAATCACAGTCACAGTTCAACCAAATTTTTGATCAAATTTTTCATAAGTGGCACACCAAGAGCTTCAGCAACATGTGCATGTCCACGCACTGTTTTCAGAAATTTACCTCATAACCCATAAAATACAAGCTAAACTTCATTCCAGGGAAATCCAACCTCTTCAGCAACCTGATTTCCACATGGGCAAACACAACAACACAATCACAACCTGATTTCCACATGGGCAAACAAGATGTAGTTAGTGACAAAAGAAAAAATGGTTCAAATCAGAGTAATTTATTTTCTGAACTGCAGGTAATGAGGTAAAAGGTAAAATACCAAGCACTTTCCACATTGTGTAACCTTCTTTATTACAACTGTTTGTTTGTTCTAACTCAAGTGATCAACAAGACACAAAAAAAAGGAACAAACCTTTTCATACGTTCATGGACTGGGGTACCCAATGAACAAACCTCATAATCCAACACCCATGCATATGTTTAGCTGCAAATTACATGACAAATTATTGGGAGTTAGTCAGATTTGGAAAGGTAGCTAGATTGATGACAAATTTAACGTTAAGAAATCTAACCGATGACTTCTAAACAATAAAAAAATTTATAATTGAAAAATATATATGGTGTGAAAGTTAACGTTAAGAAATCTAACCGATGACTTCTAAACATTAAAAAAATTTGTAATTGTACCTTTGCAAGTTGACTTTACAACTAGTTCTATAATGCTCGAGTTCACCACATCTGCTACATATGCGTTTCTGCCTTTCTTTTTTTTCTTGTGCTTGTTCTAAACCTGACTGGATTCTAGTAGCATTGCATGGACGACCTTTAGTCTTTGTAGGTCTATCAGGATCACGAACTGTAATCTGAGGAATGTGCTCCATTGTATGTGAAATGGATGTGGAAATCTGAGGAATATCCATCATTTGATCTTGAGTTTCTCCAACTTCTTCTAAATAATTATTAGTAGTATATTTATTCATATAAAATAGATAATGAGGGTATAAAACTGTAATAAAATATGATTATCAGTTGTTAACCCCAATGTTACGATGTCGAGCATATATAGTCCATCGGTGTAGGATGTAATGATCGGGTAATGAATCTATTTGCCTAGCTATCATTAGCGACAATATATGTCTACATACAACACCATTAGTTTTAAACAAAGCACAAGTGCAACAGAACTGCATCTGACTGGATTCTTCATAAGTAACCACCTCCCATTTTCCTCTATCTGTAAACTTACAGATCTTGTATTCAACAATGTAGCCGTCCCCATCTTCAATTCTTCACAAAACTCTGTACCAAATCCTTTAAATTCAGTTTGGAACACATCAAACATATTGCGTGTATACATTTCTCCAGCTTGTACCTCAATTGGATGTCCAAGGAGCATGACAAGCTTTGTGTTAAGACTCTTAAAATCTTCATAGGCTTCACTTAAGCGACGATGAGTTACTGCTTTTTCATATTGTGTCACAAACTCGTGTAATTGAGTCTGTGAGTTAACATACCCATCAAAAATGCATTAATACTTTCACTCCTTTGGCTTGATCTCATTCCAGCAAAAAAAAATGTCCTTCAGATAACATGGTACCCAGTGTTCTCGACATTTGTAAACTGTTTGCAACCATCCCTCCCCTTCTTCATTTATATCAAACTTCTCCTTCATCTCAAGCCAACATCCTTCACATTGTTCAATTGAATACATTTGAAACTGTTCACCATAACGAGACCCCAAAGTAGACAAATGATCAGTAATGTGCTTTTGCATGTGCCAATAGCAATAACGGTGTCTTGTC